AAGCACATACTGTTGTATATGATTCGATGCAGCTCGACGAGCTGATTGTGAATATCACCTTGGTTTTGCGTCAAAATGTTCTCATATTCGCAAAACTAGCGATTCCGGGGCAGAAACCTGGTTTTTTTGGAATACCTCTAACTCGGCCTGTGTTCATTATTTCAATACGGCGCTATGACCAACGATACATTAAACGTGGGAGAATAATCGATGAAAATTTCAGCTCAATTGGATTAAAGCTCTTTGTAGCGTCCACAAAATACGGTATGACCGATTTTTCGACCCACTTTCGGCCCAGTAGTTAGTTTTTTTCTATTCCATTTCTGGTTCAAACGAAATAATTTTTTCACACAATAAAGCTCATAGATCAATCATTCGTTCCAAATAGTTTTTCATTTTAAAATACTTTGATAAGCTGACAAAAAAATTGGTATCCGTATAATTACCGATTTATCAACAATTTTTTTGACGATGGACTTTCCTAGCGTGTGACTTGATTTCTGAAAATCTAGTTTTAGGGTAAGATAGACTAACCATAAAAGTATTCATTCCATTATTTAGACTTTGAAAAATACAACTTGAGGTCATGTCCGCCTGGTTCCCCACAGTGCCCCACCCCCACACCCTACAATGTCAAGAAATGAATACTTTAAAAGAGCCCAAGCTTGGTTTAATTTTTGAAATTATTGATTTCTGTATTGTAATAAGTTCTTCATTTGGTTAATAAATTTATTAGGCTCAAATGTCAAGGGCTCATATGACGAGAGGCTCAAATGTCGGAGGCTCGAATACAAAGGCTCAAATGTCGATAGGCTCATGTGTGAGGGCTCATCTGTTGGGGCTCAACTGTCGATAGGCTCATGTGTGAGGGCTCATCTGTTGGGGCTCAACTGTCAAAGGCTCAACTAACGTGTCACCCGCTATACCGGTATAGCGGTACAAGAGGTATATTTTTATACCCCTATAGCGGTACAGCGATAAAAGGGGTATAGTTTTATACCGCTATAGCGGTATAGCGGCATCGGTATGGGTGGGTTGAGTGTAGGTGTGGGTGTCAGTGTGGGTGGGATCTGGGTGTGGGTGGGGTGTTGGTGTGTGGGTGTCGGTGAGCTGTCGGTGTGTGGGTGTGGGTGGGGTGTGGCTGTGGGTGGGGTGTGAGTGTGGGTGGGGTGTGGGTGTGGGGTGGCGTGTGGGTGTGGGGTGGGGTGTAGGTGTGGGTGTGAGGTGTGGGTGTCGATTTGGATGTGGGTGTGAGTGAGTGTCGTTGTGGACATGGGTGGAGTGTGGGTGTGTGGGGTGGGGTGTGGGATGTGGGTGTGGGTGGGGTGTGGGTGTGGGTGCGGATGTGGGTTTGGGGGGACGTGGGTGTGGAGTATGGGTGGGGTGTGCGAGGGAGTGCGAAGGGTGGTTGTTATATATATAACGAATGATTTCCAGACCGACACTGATACGCACACACAAACCTACCCACAACTTGAACCCGCGCCCACTGATACCAACACCCCCTTGCACAATCACAGCCAGGTCTATATGTTGTTCGTATTAAAAGTTATTCAAAAATACTCACCCTTCCCTTTTTTGAAATAGTTAATGAGTGATCACAGGTAACGATCTGCTTTGAATCCAGTCTCACCCACACAGACGAAGACTATGCATTTCGTCTGATGCTTTTTTTGGCGCGGAGCACAAGTAAAATGTACCCGATACACAGAAGAAACATTATTTCTCCAAAGCAATCCAGTAATGCTGAGTAAGACATGATGAGGAGGTAGGGATTAGCTGCTTAAGAGAGGGTGTGGGTGGGTGTGGGTGTGGACGTGTGTTGGAAAGAAAAGAAGCATCCGCACCCACATCCCACACCCACACTCCACACCCACACCCACACCCACCCACCCACACCCACACCCCCACATAGGGACATAGGGGGATAGGGACATAGGGAGATAGGGAATGGGAGCATAGAGTAAGAAGAGTATAAGGAGATAGGAGAATAGGATGATAAGAGAATACGGGGATAAGGAGATGAGGAGATAGAGTATAAGGGAATAATGAGGCAAGAGTATTAAAGGTATAACTATAAGAGCGTAATAGGGTACAGGTGTATACGGGATAAAGATGTAAATGAGTGAGGAAATACGCCTATAAGCATGTAATACTACGAGAGTATAAGGCTACAAAGAATAAGACTGTGCGGTCTACTTATTTATAAAATGCGAAGTATCTGATTATCTGCTACCGGATCAAGGCTAAAGCATAATGTGAAAGTCTGCAGAAAGCAGCTGCCGTGCAGTATGCACGGGTTCTCGCTAGTTATTATTATGACGTTGTTGACGATATTGATATTGATCATAACCATGATTGTTATTATGATGTTGAACACGTAATTGTTGTTGTACTACAGCGGCACTAACGATTCTTAAATAATCATTTATTCGCCGTTCGATAAATTGTTCTAAACGACGAATATGACCATTTATTAATGCTCTAAAAAAAATTCTAAACAAATTTACAAGAATAAATAAAGAGACATACCCATTCTGGTCAAGATATACGTCATTGATGACATCAAATGAATAAGAACGAACACCGCCAGCTGTCTAAAAAGTGAATAAATAAATAAATAAATAAATAAGTCAGTAATATAGTAATACAAGACTTACTAGATCCATAACACAACGATCAGCTAATTTTAAGAATATTGAATGAAGTACACAATTATTTCTTTTGTAGAAGAATTCTAATTTATCAACATCATGGTACATGTGCCAATCAATTTCACCCTGAAATGAATTTGTTTTTAATTCAAAGAAATATTATTCAATTTTTTTTACTTTATTATCACCATTTTCAATCAAAAAACGTTTTTCCTTTAAAACATAATGAAATATAGTGAAAATTTTTGGTAAATCGAATGCACGGTGTTGCGATAATAATTCATTTAATGTTGCGTCCATTTTCTTTTATCTAAAAAAGAAAAATCCAAAAAATATATCAATTGAAAAAAGATGCACAGGAAACATCTTTCGATATAAATAGTGTAAATAGTCATTTCAGTGAAGAACTTTACATTATTGATTTTTCGTTTGTTAATCATGACGTCATTTGTCCTCTTTCTTACGTCTATGTATCTATTTCAGATAGATGGACTCACATTATGTATCATTGAGGATGAATGAAACGAAACGATAAAGAAAGACAGGAGCGATGTATTGATTATATAAATAATTCATTAATGCGGTACGAAACACAGCATTTCTGTATTCTTTCACGAGTTTTCTGAGTGTAGAAATAAACAAAAGGAATTCCATGGTTACCTATTGCAAGGCTACCTAGAATAAAATAAATGATCCAGAAACTGAAGGACTACAGACATCCAAAACGAACTATGTTCGGAAATACCTGAACCCAACCTGGCCGAACGTTAGTGTGCTTTCGTGATCGATTATATACCTCAAGAAACGCTTAGGCAATTAGCTAGATGCTTGCTGCTGTTTCGAGTTCGTTGGATAGTTTCCGAACCTGAACGTAGACCATTCGATCCAGAACTAAGTACTTGAGTCCGAGTCCGGTGCATGTCTAGATTATTCGTTTTTAACAAAAAAAAAGACGATTTTTCGATAATCAACATTTGAAGCTGCTTCACACTGCATTTCGTAGTCGAATGAAATTCGAGTGCCATCTAATTTAAACGGACTTTCTACTAGTTTTAATTTAAAATTGAATTTGTTTTTGAAAAAGAGTTCATCGACAAAAAATATTTTTCTTGGTGATAAAAAATTTTTCATAAACATTTAAGTTAGAATTATTAGTCAATAAATTTTTTTCTCATATGATACAACTATTTTTTATAAATCTCATGTTATCGTGTGTAAACATTTTCATATGTATACATGGATTTAAAATATTTGAATAAAATATAGAAATAAGAATTTTCTTCTGTCAAATACATTTATTCTATACAAATTTAAATTTATTTAAGTAACAAATGAAAATAATTATGATATATCAATATCAAGAAAATAATCTTTGAAATGTTTTGGAAATCGAAGATCTGTATCTGAACATATATATCTCACCTGTGAACAATTAATTCGTGTTGCATTTCGTTTAAAATTGTATGTTACCCTCTTTAAAGGTTTATAATCGACATGAAGATCAAGACCATATGGTAAACATGTTTTCGTATCAAGTAGAAATTGTTTAACATAATCATCATGAGCTTCATTCAAAATAAGGCGTTTTAGATGAGAATATTCAATAACTAATAAATCTTGATTGGTATTTTTTAATTTTTTACATTGTTTATCCTTTTGTGCTTTTCGATTCATTATATTACGTTGGCAACAAAGTTCTTGCGTTTTTTTTGAAAATGTTCTAAAACATTCGAGAAAGTTTTAGAAGTTTTCGTACGAAGGGTATATAAAAGGAGTGTGAATATCTTTCGAATTATAATAAAGTCATCGATATGGACGCTGATCATGAACTGAAAATGAATCTTTCTCGTAGAGAGATCCGAGTGCTTTTACTTCATGAATTCCGTCTGGGTCACAAAGCAACGGAAGCAGCCAACAACATATGCAGCACGATGGGCGAGGATGTACTCTCTATTCGTACGGCACAACAATGGTTCAATCGCTTTAAGAACGGTAACTTAGAACTCGACGATTTACCTCGACCCGGTAGACCACTGGAAGTGGATGTGGATCTCTTAAAGCAGCTTATCGAACAAGATCCTCGATTGACTTCACGGTGTTTAGCAGAGCAGCTTGGGTGCTCTCATACTGCGGTGGAAAAACATCTGAACGAATTAGGCAAAACATGGAGATATGGAGTTTGGATACCCCATGAGTTATCACCACATCAACTTCAATACAGGGTTGATGCTTGTATGGATTTGATGACATCTCACCGCAACTATCAGTGGCTCCGCAATCTTATCACCGGTGATGAGAAGTGAGTGTTGTATATTAACTACACGCACAGACGCCAGTGGCTAAGCCCTGGTCAAACAGGCGTAGCAACACCTAAGACTGATCCACACCCCAAGAAGGTGATGCTGAGCGTTTGGTGGGGTGTCAATGGAATTATTCACTGGGAAGTTCTTCCAAATGGTTGCACCATCACTGCTGATCTCTACTGTCAACAATTGGACCGGGTTGCCGAAAAACTCAAGGAAAAGCAGGATCGAATTTACTATTTGCATGATAACGCAAGACCCCATGTTGCAAAGTCGACCTCCGAAAAATTATTGAAGCTCGGATGGATTACCATTCCTCATCCACCTTATTCTCCTGACTTGGCTCCAACAGACTACCATTTGTTTCGTTCTCTTTCTCATCACTTGCGTGAGAAAAAGTTCGACGACGAGAACGACGTGAAAATGGATGTCGCCAACTTCTTTGGTCAAAAGTCCCAGGACCTCTACGAACGCGGGATCCTATCTCTGCCAGAGCGTTGGCGACAAGTCATAGATAGTAATGGTGCATATATAACTGAAAGCTAGTTGTACTGTTGAAGTTAAAAAATAAAAATAAAAATTTTGAAAAAACGCAAAAACTTTGTTGCCAACCTAATAGTAGGCGATAATGCCGATCTTGGATGTGGGTGGGTGTGGGGTGGGTGTGGGTGTAGGTATGGGTGTGGGGTGTGAGTGGGTGTGGGTGTGTGTGGGTGTGTGGGTGTGGGTGTGGGTGTGGGTATGGGTGTTGCTGACGGTATAGGTGTTACTATTATCATTCACACCCACACCCATACCCACAGCGACACCCACACCCACACCCACCCATACCCTCACCCACACCCACACCCACACCCACACCCACACCCACTCACACCCACACCCCCACACCCACACTTATAGCCACAATCACACCGGCCACACTCGCGTCGGAAACGATAAATCTATGATCTATACTGTCATATCTGTCATTAGAATATTGTTAGAGATTTGCTTAGGTCACATACTGATTGTATTAGAATCCAAGCACAGATATGCGTTTCCCGTTCCCAAAGGGTTAATATGGAGAAAAATGACATGGCATGTGCAAACAATTGAATAGTTTATTTGATGTGCTCAGAAATTCGAAGAAACTATTCATTTAAACTGAAGATTATCGATAAGATAAGATAAATAAAAAGTTTGAATTTCAATAAATTTCGTTTCTAATTAATAATTGAGAATGAACAGTTTCATTATGAAATCTTTCTGTATATTGTTGATTATTATTGTTACGCATTGGATAACGTTTGTACAATATATATATAAATCTAATAAATATGAGAACGAATCCAATCGAATACATAAATATGAGGACTTTGCTTATTTTAATTTTGTAGATGTTTGAGAGTTTGACTCATCATCATTCGGTGGTATTGGACCGTTTACATAATCACTATAAATAAGAATAAAATATATTATGAACCTCGGGAGACTAATCGAGTATTTCGAATGAAGTATGTGCTTTCGTTTTGTAAGCGAAGTAAAAATATGGCAATACTATTTTGTTAGAATTAAAGTTTCTCATATTACGAAAGTGAAATCATATGAGAAGTTCTAATGGAATTTTGATTAAACACAAGGGGAATGGACAGGAAAAAACGTTAACAGTCTATGTACTATTCTTATGTATAGAATACGAGTTAGCAAAATTCCTCAGTTAGGATGTATAATTAGAAAAGGGCTTCCTTTGTACATTTGTATCTTGTTGCTATTAGAGTTACTTAAGATAGAGCAACATGAAAACTTTTTCGAACAGGCTATTGGGTCCATTGGAATCCAGTTGTCTCAGGAATGTATGGAGTTCGTTAATCCTCGTATGAAAAAAAACTATAACAAATTTATATTCGAGATGAGTATTCCATTCCGATGAAATAATTTACTTCGTCCAAGACACCCTTTGCGAAAAAAAATTTATTTGTCTATCTTTCATTCGCGAAATGAATTAATTGTATTAATGAATATATACTGATATACTCATTATTTCGAGGATAATAAAGAATACACTTCAACAAAATCCTCTATCGATTTGAGTTTTGTGAGAATTTTCGACTTAGCTAATTGAATTTTATAGTGTGTTAAGATATGTCTAATTATAATCTGCATGCATCATAGTGATAACTAACCGTTTTGCTAAAACATCTCGCGTTTTTACAATCGGTAACTTTTGGCATATTACAGCTGCTGGCCGATTACAAGATAAATCCGAACATGAAATCGATGGTACTGAGTCAGATCGGAAATCAATGTATCCACAAGTAGTTAGCTGAGTTTTTATTCGATTAGCGTCATTAGTTGATAAATTTCGTGAAGATCGGAAACTTTCAACACTCCTTTTAAATGATTCTTTACATAAAGTATGAGGAACATAGGGATCTGGTACATCTTTCGAACTATTTTCATCGGCTGTGTTATGTTGCATAGCAGTACAATTTTGTTCGTCATAAAAAATACCAAGATGTGCAAAACCAGATGATGTGTAACTGTACCGACGTAGAAATAAGAGTTTTAGGAAGAAGAGTATCGCAGATTCTCCAGGTAGAAATAATTCAGCATTATCACGTTCACATTCAGCCTTTGCATCATTCCAAGTAGTTTCGTGTAAGAGTATTTTATAACAATATTCATTCATAAAATGAAAATCTGAATCATTGCCACATGAATAATCTATTATTGTATTAGCTGATATGATTGACGAATCACCACTTGTAATTGAATTAAATTCTAGATGTTTGCTAACACAAATTGGTATAGCAGACATTGATGAACATTGATCTGATTCAGTAAAACATGGTTTAAAAGTCGACGTATGATCAACGACAGTTTCTTCTCGACGGATAATTATACAATTTTGGTCAATGGAATCTAAAGTTTGAAAACATTTTTCGATCGAATGATTTGATCCTTTGTTGATATCTATGTTATCCGATGTACGATCAATCCAAAAATATGTTGGATCATGAATAGAACTTGAAGTAGACGGAAATGAAAATTTGAAAAAAAAATTTACGCTTAAGGTGCAACAAATGCAAAATTTCGAGCAAATTTTTCTTTTTTTTTCACATATGGTTGGACAGAGCACAAAGAGCTGAGTAAGAATTTATATGTTCAAATTTTTTTGGAATGAGATATTAGGGGAAAATTCTCGGTTTTTCTAGTGACTCACTTGTTCTGTAAAAATCGCCAAAGTGAAATGCAGTGAAAATGAAAGAATGAAAACACTATTTTATTTTATAAATTTATTTAATATAATGTAACGTAGAATTTTCGACCAATTTTCTGTTGGAACCAGCTTGTGAATGCGGTCATCTTCAGTACTTAACAACGATTTCTTAACATCAATTAGAATAATAATAATAATAATAATAATCTAATATAATCATTAACATATAAATATTCATAAGCCATAAACAGTAAAACCATAATTAAATTTGTAAGACTGAAGTTTATAAGAACTGCAAGGTATACGTCATAATTTAAGAAGAGTAAACATTATATTAAATAAATTTACTAAATAAAATAGATTTTTCATTTTCACTGCATTTCACTTTGACGATTTTTACAGAACAAGTGAGCTACTAGAAAAACCGAGAATTTTCCCCTAATATCTCATTCCAAAAAAATCTGAACATATATATTCTTACTCAGCTCTTTAAGCTCTGTCCAACCATATATGAAAAAAAAGAAAAAAAAATTTGCTCGAAATTTGTATTTGTTGCACCTTGTGATGTATTTGGGTATTGTATCTTGAATTTCCAAAGTATCATGTATTTTTACAAGCATACCACCAATAGATTTACAAAAGGATTGCGCATCAGAGAAATATTTTTTCTTTACTGTCAAATTAACATATAAGCATCGTCGTTCATCTTCACTAGCTTGATAATCTAAAAGAGTAAGAGAAATTCTGTTTTTGAATATTTTATTAAGAGATTTGTATGTTTTCTACTCGTGTCAGGAGGGCATCTTGGTTGTTCAACATATACTGTATATATCGTTGAATCATTTGCATTTCCACATGTATAAAGGTAATTACCTGGACACTGTTGAGTACAATTTAAATCTGGAAAATCAATCCCATTATACCGTTTTTTTTTCATTACAATATTTGTACATAAACATTTATTTGAATTCAGAAGAGTATATTGTTGTTTATATTTTTTACATAATTCTAAACAATGACGTGGATGAATATCATTTATATGATTTAAATGGAATTCATATATTTCCGAGTGATTGATAAAATTTAAATGAATACAACTATCATAGATAAAATCAGGATATTTTTGAGATGTTTTATACAAATGGTCCAATCCCACCAGACTTACAGTATCAACTACATGTAAAACAACGATTGTATCTGGATTACCACAGTATTCATATAGATTGCCTAAAATTGTAAATAGTTTTATGAACGTGTGTAGTCATTCTCTTAAAAGAGAACTTTAATTAGAGAACCAAGAATTGGAGGCAACGGCAAAAATTTATGGTTTTCATTTTTTTCTGTACATTGAAGAGATTATAGTCGAAAACTGCAAAACCCAAATGTTCAGTTCATTTGGATATAATATAGCAAGATAAACCACGATTAACTTAAGAGCAATAGCAACGCAATGTGAAAAATATCCAAAAACCGATCCCTAAATATTCATTAGATTATGTTAAACAAATCAGGAAATTTTCGATACAGTCTACTAAAAGATAGAGCACTTGGTGCTGAGAAAAATGAGCCATTCGAATTGTTGAATATTATCTGTTCATCGGAATGCTAAAGACGAGTATAATCAGAGAACGTTATCATTTGTGAGTGAATTTAAATTTCTATGCCTATACACTCCCACACTCCTTTCAGTTCGTATTTCACAAGAATAAGTCAGATACAAGTGCTTCTATATAGTTTTAACCGAATCAGTAGAACACGTTCTGATATTTTCATTGCACAAATTCCTCTGAGGGTTGTATCTAACGATCTGAAATATTATTAATGAAGGAATTTTGGGTATCCATTTTCAGGTTAAATATTGTTAAAACATGATCTTGTGGCTTTTTCTCACTAGCGAAATGTTGAAATATAGTTCTACTGATTAAAGACAAGAAAAGCGGTAATCTCAACTTTGATCGAAAGTAAAAATATCGAAAAACAAACGTGAGAGCGAGAGTGCTGAAGATTCTGGTTTATATAAACTATCACTTTCGAGGTATTTGCTTTTCGAAGTCATTATCATTATCATTTTTGATATTTTTACTTTCGACCAAAGTTTAGAGAATCAAGAAGAGCACCAATATTCAATTGTCGAGTATTACCAGGACAAGGATTTCCACAATCTTTTGTTCTATATTTTCCAAAATTTTTTTGACTATCAAGTATTTGTGAAACAGCAGCATCAATACAATAACATTTATTCATATGTATAACAACCATATTTGTTTTAAATTCTCCACAAACAGTTAAACATAATTCATATGTTAAATGATTTGATATCATTGTTAGTAAGTCAAGTGTTAATGGTTTACGATAGCAATATTGTTCAGAGTTATAACCTTTTATTGTTTTGGTTTGACATAAAGTATGTCTTGGCTTCGAACAATTATTCAGTTGAATATTTTTTAAAATAGAACTTCTTTGTTTTTCGTCGATTCCTGAACGTGTCAAAACTAAGCATGAATCGTCTCTTAGATTTGAGCTATTATCATTGTTTGGACTAATCATTTGAAATTCATTTACAGATGATATATTGATACCAACATTGGACACTAACGATGCAGAACGTTCGATATATGGGTACCATTCTTCCAATGGTCTAAGTTTTGGTATATCATATGATACATCTAAGAAAGAATTATTTTAGTTATCATAAGAAATTATGCATAATATCTTCGTGCTCATTAGGTTTTATGTAATACTCAGAACTTTTGTATCATAACTTATTATTGTTTGATCACTGCTTTTTCCGTTGTGGTACGAAAATTATTTCTTTATTTTACAATAAGATCCTTCTTTATGTATTTGAAGCTTCATTTTGTTTCGGGTTTTTCACTCTAAAATTAAGTCTCTTCACAGAAAACTAAGCGAAAAATTCGTCGCACATTCAATCGTTATAATGGTTAGACGAAAATCTTAATTATCAATTTAAATTCTAATAGGAATGCATTCTAATTAAACCGCACTGGTATAATCAGTGAACTAATAGGAGGTGATTTGATACTTCAATTATTGACTGTCTTTTAATCGTCATCTTAAAGCGGGTTACTCACTGTCGTTCTCCGAATTACATGTCAACAATGGCGTGAACATAACGTACAAAACATACGAATTGAACTGAACATCTCATACGTATTACGTAATCTCAATTGGCTACTAAATAATTTCATAAATCAATTAATATGATTCCATCAACTATGGACAACTATCGATAAGATTCTTCTCGGAGTACTTACTTGTATCAAGAAGAAAAAAACCAAGACGAGTTTGCCATTGTGATGTATAATGAGCAATTTCACCTTGGAAGAAATCCATCGTAAAATTCATAATTTTAGGAATCGATTCCTTGTTTATATAATTGCCATTATCTTCAGCAACATTTAGCCTCAATTCTGTTTGTTGAATTCTGTTTTTCTCGGCTTCTGACAAATCAACACAAATATTTCTTGCTTCTTGAATTGTCTTGCGGTTATTCAGCATTCGATAGCAATTTGTATTTATATCTAACCATTGTGGAAGACATTTAGGGAAGTTTTGAGCAAAATCAAATTCATAATATTGATCGCTTACAGAATAATTTGATGATAAGTCGTCATTTAAAGGATTCGCTATGCATAAGCGATTTGCTATTATATGCGAATGTAAAGAATGAGAAGATATACGTAAGCAACCGCTGTGTAATACGTAATTGGTACTAAAATTGCTATTAGAAGGACTTGTATTAGATAGATTTGCATTTATTTTATGGGTAGTTGATGTGGTTGAACACATCCATGAAGAATCAATTGTAATATCATCGTTGAAATCAATTGAAACCATGGATTTAGTTAAGTTTAATTTTTGAATAATTTTTAGAAAGACATTCCAAGTTAGATTTCCAGCATAAATATAATTCATTGATGGTGAAGAGCAGGAATTTGGAAGTCCTTTATAAGTAGATATACATTTTTCTAATTCTTTTATATAAAGAAAACCAATCGGGCATATAGCATTTAAATTATATATAGCCCATATACGTGAATCTGTTAGTGAACCACATTGAAATTTATGTTTAACGTCCGAATGACTCAATGTGTTATCACAATAACGATCACAACTATTATTTGGTAAAATCGTTAAATGAGATGTACTATCAAAATCTAGATTCAGTTTTGGAGCCATTATACATAAACATTGATCGTTGTCATCGTTGAAAGCTAGAAATAAAATTTTTCAGATTTCTTTGTTATTGAATAGCTACAATAATTTTTTTTCAATATAGGGTGATTCCATGGGATTTCTACCACTTTTTTGGAAAAAGTTTTTTTCATATTTTTTTTCCTTCTAGTTAGACCGAAGATCGGCGGAAAACTATATTGGCCGAAAAAAAATGACTATTTACAGTTAAAATAGTGGCGATCCACGTGATTTTCTAGGTACATCTACAGA